AGTGCAGAGATATTTCCTACAGTTTTACGAAATGCCGGACTAGGTGGAGCGTCTGTATTTGCCGGCATTGGTTCCATGACAGCTCCCTACATCGTTACCTTCGTAGGTCACATTAAATATTTATCAATAAAATGACTTAAATTTATTTTTGTCGAAGGAGCCATTGTATTATTATATATTAACAAAAAAGTAATGATAATTGCAAAACGAACGAATAAAAAGTATGAAAATAGGAATTTCGTTTGCCTTTGTAACGTGTTGCAAAATACTAAATAATAATTAGCATACATAACTTATAAAATATAAATTGCTCTTTTATTTTAAAAGTATTACGTTCATATCAAATGGCTTATTAGTATCATATGTTTACACTTATCCTATGTTGCATGTGAATCATGATATTCTTTCGTTAAAAATATTTGTATAATTTGTACCAACTTGATACATATACTTGAAAGCATTTTGATAACTTGAATAATTTTATTCATACCTGGATACCAAAAATATAACAACCAAAATATTAATTTAATTCATTTTATTCCATTACATTCACCAAGAATTCCATATTTACTGGAACATAATTTTTCAAACTTGGAATTATTCTTATAATTATAAAGGGTGGAACAATAGGTGGTGACTTTTCGTCGATAGTTTGTGGAGTTGTTTCTCTAATATCTGGAATAATGTCGCTAATGCTTCCCGAAACTCTTGATAGAGAGCTTCCAGAAACTTTCGAAGATGTCGAAAACTTCAAACGGTAGTATTTAGTAATGCCTTTTAATGTTGTGCTGTAATATCATAATGTTATATTCACTAAAGTATGTCAGATAAATTATTAATCATCAAAATTAACAATGACAAGCACACATTGAAAACCTTGAAAACCTTGTATAAGTCTCCTTGAAGTTTTTTTTTATATTATATAAAGTTGCCAATAAAAAGTACTGATACGTTGAGTATGTCTATCAGGTTTTTAACGTTTGCGACTAGATTATTATTCAAAGGACATGCTGTTTATATATATTTATTATATGGTTTTCTATTTCTAGCTCATGCAGAACAGGTAAATGCGACAGTCCTACATTTTCTGACTAAACAGATTACCAAAAGATTACCCAATGATAACCATAATCTGATTTCCCTGAGATTCCATATTTGTGTTTATGCCATAAAACAATCTACAGATGAAATCACTTTTTTAAAAAAAAATCAACAATTGACAAAAAAGTTTGTTGCATTTTCAAAATTGATATCTATCATTTGCAAAATAAAAAAATAAATCTGAATTGTTTGTTTTTCATGAATTATTTTGAAAAATCTTGTAAAGCTGTAAATTAAAACTTTAAGTTTGCTTACACTGGTGCTAAAGGCCTAAAGGCTAAAGGTCAGGGCTTGCGTTTACTGCTCCCGTTTTGAGACCAGGTCAAACTAAGCATGCTACAAATTGAATATTTTGCTATCTCAGGTTATTTGTAAGGTTACCGTTTTTATTACTTAAGAAGTAACAAGAGAAAACAAGACGTCTGAAGAAGACATTTCAATATTCATTATTCTTTGTGAACATTAAGCTTAAACCCAACAAGCAATGCAGTAAAACATAATGGAACGTATTTGAAATTAGCAAACTCTTCAATGAAGCATTTTCAAAATTCAACAGTACATTATGTAGAGATCTTTAACAGTCATATACCACCTTTACTGATGCTGTATCCAACATAACGGAAAACAGAACCCTAACGATCTCCAAAACGGCAAAATTGAAAATGTTTCACATTCAGTTCGATATTGAGTCTGTCCATTAACACCCTATCGATGGGGGTGCAATGTGGTTCTTATATATTGTGATATATCATTTACTTGACACATTGAGCTTAGGCATAGATGAGATTAAGTTAACAATTGATGAATCATATAGTGATGTAAAGTTTTGACCTTTGATCTTTTCCATAGTTTGATTGCATCTGCTATAGCCAAATAAAACATATGGGATATGTGTCTGAATCATATGCTTTAAATTGCGCACAAATCCCAACTTTTCTGTCCATCATTACTCTGGTTTCATCGGTTGCTTTGATAGATCTAAACCTAAACAAGTACCAATGCTTTAAATAGTACATAAGCAGTGGTCTGGAATCTAAATGCCTCAATGCCTGTGAAGAAAAAACAATGAAAACCTTTAACTGACAGCAATATAGTTTGTTTGAATTTTTTCACCAATTATTTCTTGAATTACTTCAAGTGTACTTCACGCAAGGTTTGATATAGTATCTAAGCTGTATTAAGTCTCTGTAATTCAAAAATAGAAATAATTTGATTTGATTAAATGGTATTTCATACTTCATTACTGAGTTATTAGTATTGCAGAGAGAAAGATCTTGCTTATCTAAGGCTTCATAATCATCATCATCTATCTCACTGTATCTAGAATAATAAATATTTCTTTTGCGTCTCATTTTGTCTTACCTTACTTGCACATGCTTGAAATAGACACATAATCTACATGTATGTATATTGCTTAAATTAAGTAAAACGCCAAAATCACTTTTATTACTGAAGTATCATTCTAAAATGGCTTAAGGATTTTTATTGTAGATATTCAGCTGCTATTATTATTATTATTATTATTTACTCTTAATTAACAAAATTATCAAAACTCCCTTTAATTTGCAACAATTATCGGCGATAATCTAATAAATAACAGTATTGATCACTTCTAACATAAATCTCAACTGATGTACCTTTTAATTACAGATTCCTGTGTACGACCGTCATCATTGGCAATTACATTTCCAGCATTTAAATTCAGACACTTCAACTATTTCAAGTCTCGGACATTTGCAAGAACAGCTAACCGTTTTGCCAGTTTTTAAAATGTTACACTACAATTCAAATGTGTGTTTCCTTTTCGTTTGTAATGCATTAAAGGCACATTATGCTTCAGAAACGAATAAATATTTACCGCTTTCGAAAGGTCCAAAAAAGAGTTATGTAAAAATGATGATTTAAATGCATGCTGGATGTTTGTTACCTGGCAAAAAGAACGCTTAATGAGGCATTAATTGTCATGAAAGTAGAAAATATAAACAAAGTAGTATTTTGACTTCCATGTAAAATACTAAATCACTGTGATAGTACCAATTGTCAAAACGTAAAAGAAGAAAAAGATGTTGCAGTAATTGTTCAATGAGTAACATTTTGGAAACTATAAAAGTACACTCCCCAAAAAACAAAAAAAAAAACTTATAGAAATAAAAGTAAAACAATACTGGAGCATTATGGTCCTTAAAATCTCCGTTAAATCTCTCCCACAATCAGATTTACAACTATATTTGCCGGTTACTTAGATTGTTAAGAAAATTGTCTACTTTCTCTGATTTGTATTTGAAGCAGTTATGGCGCCATTTGGTTTAACGTTTACTATAACACTTGTTATTATGATATATAAGAAACCGTACTGTTTTCTTACCATTCACTTGTCGTCGCTTTACTGGTTAAGATGTCTAAAATAGAGAATTTTGACCGGAGAAAAAGACACAGAACCAGTTAAATTGCTTAACGAATTATCCTAAACGGCAAAATAGTCAAATCGCTATAATATTAATTACAGCGATATCATTGTGCTTGTTAACATAGTTGTATCATACACACGCATAACGACTTCAATTTAATTCATTTCACTGTACATTTAATATATTTGACTTAATATGAAATTATATAAAAAGATGTGTAGTTCCTATCTTAAATGAAACACGTTTATCTTTAAAAGCTGGTTTCGTGTTAAGTTGAATTATATGTGTCAATCATGTACAAAAATTCACGTCATATCTTTACCGGAGCTCATCATGGAAAGCAACAGTTTAACATCGAGAAAATATAAGTTCAAGAATATTTCAGTTATGTAAAACTTCGATAAATGAAGTAATAAAATGATAACGAATACAGAAAAACAACAAGATATGAACAGCGTCGGAAAAATGTAGGGTTCAGACTTCGATAACATATTAACTACAAGAAAAGCATGCACATAACAATTGTCAAATGTTGATGCGCGTTTTAATGAAACTCAAGTAACCATCACATTCTTATGGTCTATAACTTCAAGATAAGCACAAATAAACTAGAAATTGAATACGGGCTTAACGAAAGCAAAACAGCTTAAATTCTTCCTAAAATGTTTTCATTTACTTTACGTTTTAGTTGACAAATAGAGGATATTGAAGTAGTATAGGTTGAATGAAATTGATGTGCGCTCTTGATGATTGAGGCTTTACAAACTTGCTGATATATGAAATAATTCATTGTAAAACCCTGATAAACGGTTAGGTAAACAGACTATCTTGATAATGGTTAAAATTGTAAACGTTGTTTGGTTAACTTCCCCACGCTCCATATATGAAACACTGTTGAAAAGCAGTGTTAAACTCAATCTTAAGAAACATAAGAAAGAAACTAAGACGTAAAGAAACATATTTCATTATTTTTCAGAAGATCAACTTTAGGATTGTACTAATTGCTGCAAAATAAATAACATTAATAAAAGCGAGTTTTCCTTGCAACTCGAGCCCACAACTGACTGCAACTTAAACATTCGACTTGAAATTGCCGAGGTAAATAAACAATTATTTCAAACTATGTTTTATCTTTAAAGATATATCATTCTCAAATTTGATAGCTTAGTAATATTAAAAATTGTTCTACTATTTCTTTGTAAATCTAAAATCAACATGTTCTTTGACTTCACACAAAGTAGATATGCCATGTTTTAAACTTTATCCATAATATGAGTATATAGTGTCACTAAAAAAGCTGTCAGTTTTGTTAAGAAAGGAGCAACTTTTTTTTTACCTTTAATACAGAATGCAGTTTCCCATACATAGTTTAAACATTTTTTATTCAAATAACACATAAGAATCAATAGATTTCAATAAATATCTGCGAGAATTTTTTTTATCCCAAACGTGAGCAAAGTATATCTTTAACGTGAACTTAACAAAATTTTTATCAATGTTAGTGTAAATTTTAATGAAAGTGAAGAACGTATTTCTAATTCTGATATCACAGATATGGAAATGTTATAATGAATAGATCTTTGGACGTTAATGTTTTGTTACATTTTATTCGTGAATTCCCTGATTGTTGGGCAAAATCAGTCATTATACCATTGCACAAAAAAGGATGTTTGAATAATCCAAATAATTATAGGGGCATAGCATTATTAGAGGTATTAAGTATAGTTTATATATCAATAATTACTAAAAGATTAACATTCTATGTTGAGGCTTACAGTAAGCTCTAAGAAGCTCATACTGGATTTAGAGCTGGATACACTACAATTGATAATGCTTTTGTTTTATATTCTATTGTTAATACATATTTAAATATGAAACGAAAATCAGTATAATTATGTAGCTTTTGTAGATTTCCAAAAAGCTTTTGACTCAGTAGATAGAGGTGTATTGTTTCAGATTTAGAAATGGAATAAAAGGTCATTTATTTCACACTGCATCACATTTATTCGTCAGTTAAAGCATGTGTTTGATCAAATGAGGTGGTAAACGTTGGAGAAAACATTTTCATATTCACAAACTTTAAGTATATTCTAAATCGGTGTCTCATGTAAAGCACATATTGTCGCTTTGGCTTCCAGTACACAGTGAATGAAAGGATTATTTTTTACAGTTTCGTGCTAAATTAATCTTTATACAATGTTGAAAATACTAATTGGATGAAAAAGTAATTCATAAAGACAGTCCATAAGCAATATTGCACATAAACATGTATGTATTTCTTTGCAACTGTTTTTCTTATCCCGAACATGCTTAAAAAGTATCTAAACTTATAACAAAGAAAGTTTTATTCTTGCTGAACGTAGGATGTGATTACAATTCAAAGTGCATATAATTAACGGGAATAAAATGCAACCATACTGTATTATTTTGAGAAAAATCTCGATAAACTTCACGAACAATGAAACCTCATCATTTAACATTTGATTAGTTTGTAAAGCTTTTGTGTCAGACAATCATTAATTATTAGTGTTTACAGAATATTTCATTGATGCTACAACTTGAAACTGAAATAAACTCCTGTCGGTACTGAAGGATATGTGCCAATGTCTTCTTCAATTTTACTTTTAATACTTTAGAAGACGTATGTTTTTAGAACTGTCACTAGACTGTAGAACTTAGTTCAAATCAAAGACTACATTTTGTATTTTGCATTGACAAATGGAATATAAATATTCATTTACTAC